CTTTTCTTTTTACACATGTTCATGTTAAGCAGACTGTGCTCCATAAAGTGTTTGATCATAGCTAGCAATCTCTAATTCAAACTTACCTACTCCAACAAGAGTCATGCGCTGCCCCACATAACACTCCTGAGTATACTCTTTTAGCTGAATAATAATAAATAAAAGTTTCTAATAAGACCTTGAGATTATAAAAATTCAACCAAACTCTTCCTCTCCCCCCCCCCCCCTCAACCAAAATAGTAAATGTATTTCAGAGTCATTCACCATAGGCATGGTAAAAATTGTCCAGATTACTTCATAATAGTGCTTGCCTCTGCTGAGAGTTATTCTCTCAGCACAATTTAATCTGGCCCCAGATGTTCAAAGAATAGCAATTGCTGTCCATTGGATAAATCTCTTATCAGGTGGATAGTACAGAACATTTTTTCAACACTTATCAACTTGATTCAAATTAATCCATTGGATGACTTTACCTGCCCTTCAAACAACCCCAAAATGGGTCCCAAATGAATATAACACAGCAACTGCATTTTTCATAATTTTCTTCTTCAGAAATATTAAAAACATCATACAGTGAAACAGCATACAGTGGCCATATTGAAAATTGGCACCTTAGTATTATTATCACCAATTTATGTGTAAATCACTATATCACTTGTGAAGTGTTATGTAGAGCAAGTTATGAACACTGAGTTGAACAAGTTGTACATTTAACACTGGTCTCTATTTATTATATTAATAAATCACAGGAAAGTAATTCATGCAATTTATAAATACTTTAAAATGTTCTCACCAATTCAGAAGAAAATTTTCCAGTTCTGTGTGGCAAGCAGTACAGTGAATTTCCCAATGTTTTCCTGAAGTGAAAAATTGAAAAAATAAAAAATTCAAACTCTGTCCACCCTTAGCTTAGCATAGTGTGCACATTATGAATCTAAGCAAAACAGTCAATAAAAGCCAGTAACTGGTCATAACCACTGGCTAGTCTGCCATCTTCATTTCACTTCTTTCACCCCATTTTATCACAAGTGCTGATGAAATTTATTCTGCAGCCATTCCCCAGTTTTGACTGGAGTTGATTATATAATTTACCAGTAACAGCACTAGATGTACATGAATGATTCAATTCCACAGTTGGAATTTTCTTGAAAGTTTATGTGAACTTTGAGGAATTCTCCTATCATTTCTTAATTTTCTTCTACTTTTGCAGTTCAGAGAATTCTCCAGCTGCTATCCAAGATTCTCTGCCTAAATTTCAGAGACCTGAGCTATTTTATATTGAGATGTGCCTCAATTAATTTTTCAGATTTGACCATAGTTTTGTGTTAGGTGTTTAGCTTCATTTTAGTTTTGTACTTGTTTGAGCATATGGTTGCGCGTAATTTATTTGGTTAGTTGAGAAAATTATCGTTCAATTACATTTGTACATGACACTAATCACTTGTTACAAAATAAAAACCCTTGACACTAACTCAAATTATCATAGTTACTATGCATAAGAATGACAGAACACACCTGAATGCAACTCTGTGAAGCTCTTCCACAACATCTAAACACACAATGAAAACCAGACTTTTAAACATATTACTTGATTATGTTACAGATTGAAGTAAAAGACATGTACATGAAAGAAGAAGATAAACTTTCAGTTTAAATTCACACCAACTGGTAAGGACAATACAATTCTATTGTCACACTTAATCACTCACACACTCATCTCAACAACATGATGACTTTGCCACCTATAGGAGGCAATAGCCTCAAAGATACAAGTAAATTTATCAAAATAAAAGAAAACTTAATTGAATTAAGACAGTCTCTCCAAAGGCTGTCCTGAGCATTTTGGCTCAAATAATTGATCTCTTTCAAACTTTGCTCAGGAATCTGTCTGAAATACCCTCAGTTCTTCCAAACATTGCAAGATGAATTTTTGCTGAGCAAAATTTGCTTAAAGGTCAATTTTTCAAAGCATTGATACTCAAAAATTGGCTCAAGTTGCCAAGCTTGCCTTTTCACAAAATAAAAATTGATTTTTTTGAACCAAAATGCATCAGACTGCTTTTAGAGAAAGTGTATCTTAATTTTTTTATAGCTTAAAACTCAGAAGAGTGTATTGATGTTGAACATACTTATTGGTGGCTGAGCATCTTTTATTGCAAGATCTAATTTTAAACGATCCGTCACCTGGTCAACCTGCAACAAGAAGTAATTAAAACATTGAAACAATTTCCAAACTAAAAGAAGATATTATACATGCAAATATAGCAACACTGAGAGAAAGGCAAATCAACGCTGTATCTTCTTCTATACTTTGCAGCCTAAAAAAGACAAAAGTTCTGGAATCAAAAGAATACATGCATCTGTCCACCAAAAGGCACTTGCATTTTCGCAAAAACAATCATGTATAATCATGAAAACCTTCATGTAAATCTAGTGTGTAAGAAAGTTCATTGCAAAACACACACCTCCCAGCCATAGAAGGTTGGCTTCTTCACAATGTTGGCGAGGTTGTCAACTACCAAACCACTGTAAATTATTAGCAAAATTAATGAGCATTAGTTTAAAAATGGGAAAAAGTTCTTAATAGAAAGGCAGTAAAACTGTCAAAAGTATCAGCTAGGCTGATGTCATTCTTCATTTTTCACACAACCTCAGTTTGAAAACAAAAGACAAACAAACCGAAGGAGACAAATAAAAAAGGAAGGACATCTTTCTTTACATTGTGATTTTCACACACAAATGAAGAACATTCTTGAGCATTTTTACCCTTTACAAGTAGCCATATAAACACTAATTCCATTCCGTTCTATGAATTTAATCACTAGTTTAAAAATAAGTAATGGCTATATTGTCTTATCTACAAACACATTTTATATTTGCAAATCAGCACTTACATATTGCTCCGAAGGCAGTCTGCTGAGTAAACGAGGTTCTCCCTGTTACAAGTAGCCCTGAAATAATATCACGGTTGTCAAAGACTCTGGCGATATAGTGGAAAATATAGATAGCTACACAATTTACAAACACATTCATAGAATGCAGGGCAGAAGAATCTTCTAAGGTCAAAAATGAAAAGTGTAAATCAGATGAAATCTACATGCAATGGGTGAAAGTAGAAAACAAGCAGACACAACATACTTAAATGTATTGTGAGAAAATGATAACATACTCTAGAGTTGCTCCATAATGTTCTAGCTCTCTTGTAATTCTGAATCCTGAATAGTCCACATTACCCTGGAAACAACATAAGTGAACTATGAATAAATGTTACTGCTGACAGAGATTAAATAAAATTTTTCTCAAAAGAACTAGAAGTTGGATTTCTCAACTACACCCAATACTTACCAAAAATGCAGCACTACGCAGAGCATGGGTAATACCCAGTGTGCTTGGTGTTTCATGACGACTGGCAGCATTAATAAATAACCCTATGCGACTCTTAGGAGAATGTGTCTCCAGAGAAGCAACTCTCAGGCCATTTTCCAAAGTAGTAACCTGCAAAGGTGAGTAGTGTTAAATTCACAATACAAGACCAATGAGCTCCCATGCAGATACAGCTTAAGTTCCCAGGCTCAAATAGTCATCTACTATTAAATAATCCACCACTTAAAATGAACTTTTCCTGTGATGAGTCCTGGCAACAGTTAACTTATTTCCAAGTGTCAACATGAACTACTAATAAAAAATTTGGCTTGCAATCTTGAAGTTGGGGAACTAGGCAAAGGAGATGGAGAATTCTCCAGTTACTGCACAGAAACTCTATTGTTTTATCACTAAAGTTACAAGATTCACCAGCTATTACCCTTCTTCACAAACACCTTCTATGATACTTTGAGTTTAAAACATGGAATACATGTCATTGAGTTTACTTGCAATGCAATATATAGCATGATGCTTATTTGCCTAAACTAGGCCCATTTCTTTATAAAGTTCAAGAGTGGTTATCAAATAAATATTAAATTTCATTTGAAATATACAATTGATGTTGATTTGAAAGCATGTTAAGCACAAAAAGAAAACACCTCCTTCGTTTGGTACAGTATATTTATAGGTAAAAGTGACAACAAGTTCTTTCTGCTATTACAACCAGCAGGCTTGTCTTTTGTGGTTATATATTGGACCTTTGCAAGAATCAAGATTTGTGTGTCAAGTATCAAGGAAAAACATGACTTATATTGTTTAACTATGTTCAAAAGATGGAGGTATCACTGACAATGAGACACCAGTTTATGATCTTTGTTACAGTTTCTCCAATATTGACTGCCCTTTGGCCTGCCTCCACATAGCAGGAGCACCAAAATATGTTGGATGTAGAACTTTGAAGGTATGGAAGACAGGTTCACTTCTTTGTATATTTCTAACTGAGTCACGACGGCAATTTTCATGTCAATGTTCAATGTTTTACCAAACAGACCCTTTAACTGAACCTTGGTGACCCTGTGTTCAGTACTTCCTCTCACTTGAATAACGTAAGTATCCTGTTTTATTATTACAAACCTGCACACTCTGGGGAGTGAGATCAACACCCTCTCCAGCTCCTGTCTGTGTATCTGCCAACGGTTCATTAAGCGGAGAAGCTGCATAGGCGTACAATCTTTTCTATAATACATAAATTTCACATTGTTAGGCGAATACACACGTCAACTAAGGTAAACCAACTTAATATCACGCCAGAACATGTCGCCACATCTCATACTCGTTTTCTCTTTCAATACGCGACAAAATTACATAAAGAGACGGCAGTTACTCACAGAAGAAGTTGCACAACTTATTCCTTTCGAAATTGATGGCAACCTCCGCGATAACGGCAACATTTTCGTCCCTATTACTTGTAAAACTGCAACCTTAGCAGAGACCGGGTAAGGGATAGACCATAATAGTTTCAGTGGTAATCCGCTGGTTATCAAAAATCGCTTTTTCAGCACAATGACGCATTTCCGGTCTACTGGTGTACATAAAGAGTTATTCTATATTTGGACATTATGCACTTTGATCAAGCGGCCATTTTTACCACGTTTGGACCGTCATCAAAAGAGCTTGAATTCTGTAATTTTTATCTTTGTGTCTCGGCTGAAAACGAACGGAAGATGAGTTCTAAAGTCGTTCGAAGAGATTCCTTAAATGTTTGTGTTGTTTGTTGCGAGGATATTGAGTTTTTCGCCATTGGAGTGTGTGACCATTGTGTTTGCTACAAGTGTTGTGTTCGAATGCGTGTACTCGGGAAGGAAATTTACTGCCCAGTGTGCCGAACAGAACTGAAGCAGGTTAGTATCATTGAAATGGAAGTAACCTGTGATGTTTACAATATAATGTTGTGTAAACAGGGAAATTGAATCTTTAAATTAGATGAGTTAAAAGTAACACCGGCTCACTAGTAAGACGATCGAACTATGAATGAAAGTGCTTGTAGAAGCATTTTTCATAGCCTTGTGCAAAAATTATTACTCTTCGAGCATTCCACAACTCCAGGTTGCTTTCCTATCGCATTGCAACTTCTTTATAGCAGAGAGCCCTTCTAGCTAAACTATGTCTAAATATACTAGTTCATTTATGATTACAAGCTCACGAGTCTGCTAAAAATCTGAGGTGATAGTGAAACAAAATCACTTTCGTTTAATAATCACACAGAGAGGTCTTGTAAGATTGATAAGTCGTGAGTAAAACAAGAGAGCTTATGTAGTCCATATATTTGATATAAATATTTGATAATGAATGCTTCTCGGGTGATCCCGGATTGATTGAGGAATGATTCATTTCTTTTTATGATCACTATGCGTAGGCGGTGATAATAGTCAACCACTGTTTTGAAAATGGCTGAACATGCTAAATTTTGTGCAAAGTAGAATCCAGTCGCTCTGCTAATCACCCGTGAAACTATACTATGAAAAATTCATTGGCCTTGCCACTAGGGTAAATTGACAATTTATTTCCTCATCTTTATCTTGAGAATAAATCAACAATGTGTGCTTCCAGAAAATATCCATACCCCCACCACGGAGGGAATTGGAAATTCCAGAGGGGTGGGGGGGTCAAAGTCCCAGGAAATTCCAGAGGGGATGGGGGGTAAGAGGCGAAATTTTCGTCCAGAGGGTAGGAAGTCGATCGACTTTCTTCGTATGTCAATTGGCGCCTTTTACCTACTTTAGTGGGACGTTCTGAAGTTTAAGTTGTTAAATTACGATGCTTCTAACAGTTCTGCAGCAAAAGAAAGTTTTCTTTTATCCTTGTAGCGCTTTGGAACATAAATAACATCAAATAAAGAAGAGAATCACTTTGTTTTTCGAACGGAGCCGCCATTACTCGTTACCAGTCTCCAAAGATTACAACCAACAGGAGTGGTTACCTAGGGATTTTCCTCGGTCATAACACGTTTCGCGTTCGTAAAATTTACAAATAACTGTCTCGGTCTCGCAAAAAAAAAAAAAAAAAACGCTGGTCCCGCCGTCTCGCAAAGTTTCGCATAAATTTACCATTCACTACCCCTTATTGACTCCAGCCATCTAGTAATTTTGATCTGCACTGAACTTAATTCCGTTACATCATAATGTGTAGGAGACTTGACGATTTGTTTATGGCTTACTTGCTTGCGATGTTACAATGAATGATAAGTACAGTCGTACCGTAGTAGAAAACAGTTGATAGTAACATTGAGAAACATTAGGATCCAGGGCTTTGTATATATGCGCGTGGGACTGGTAACTAGCCAAGGTTTGTTTATGCACAATCGGACGAAATTATCGACCCGCTGTTAACAAGAATCAATGCTTGTGTGGAGAAATTTTACATTAGAGGCTGGAATTTGGAAAGATGAGTTCAAAATAACTTACTGCTGACTCGGTTTTCTCTTTTGCTCTCTTATTTATGACACAATTTTGTACAAATTTACGTTGCTCAATGTGATTTCGAACGTTTCCATTTCAAGTGCACGCAATTTTCTCAGTACATCGTACAAACTTAACAGTTCAAAAGTGTTTTGTTGCGACTTGTACAGTTTTTTTCTCCTTTCGTGTACTGAGAATACTGTGTTAAATGTTTAAGGATAAGTATTGTATTTAAAAATAAAGCAAACATTAAGTTTAAGCTAGTTAGCGACGTTTACCTTGCGCGTGTACGCCATCTCTCGAATATACACGCGACAAAATCACACGTCCCTCTTGTTTGTTGTTTGCTACGAGAAAAAATATATTTCCAGGGGGTATAGGGGGTGGTAGAAAATTCTTTGGAAATTCCAGAGGGGTGGGGGGGCTACCACTGCTACCCCAAAATGGAAAATCCGAAGGGGTGGGGGGGTCCTATATGAAATTCCCTCCGTGGTGGGGGTATGGATATTTTCTGGAAACACACAATACATATTATTACTGTGCCTTTGGCAATTAAATTTTAAGTAGTCAATTATTGTGTTGGAGATATTTAAGCTTTGAACTCCCAAGATCTGACTGTTAATTCTCCCATCTGGCTGTTACACGTAAATCACTTCTAGGAATTAAAGGGTTAATCTTTTGTATGCCATTTTCCTTCAGGTATTCATAACTAAACACATGACCAGTTATGCAAAACTGGCTGGTAGAGGAGGTTCCTTTGTGAACGATAAACGACACAACATTCATTACCAACATAAAGGCATCCAAGACAAAGTTAAGGAACTCTTGGAACATCGCTGTCAGTTCTGCCCAAGCCGCCAGCCAGAGAGATCATTTGGCCGTCTCCGTGATCACATGAAGCGGGAACACGAAATGTTCTATTGTGATCTCTGTGTGGAAAATTTGCAAAAGTTCAGCTTTGAACTGAAAGCCTACTCTCGGTCTGACCTGGCACGACACCGCAGAGTTGGTGACTCTGATGACAAATCCCACAAGGGACACCCTCGTTGTGAATTTTGTGATCAGCGTTATCTTGACAATGACGAGCTTCACAAGCACCTGCGTAAGGATCATTTTTGGTGTCACTTCTGTGAACGGGATGGAAGTCAGGACTACTATCCTGATTATAAACATCTACGAGAGCACTTTCGTGATTTTCACTTTCTTTGTGAAGAAGACGATTGTATTCATGAACAGTTTACTTCTGTCTTTCGAACAAAGGTTGATTTTCAAGCACATCGGGCTGCAAAGCACTCTGGAAAGTTGAGTAAAGCACAGGCTCGTCAGGCTCGTCAGTTAGATGTTGATATAACCTTTGCTCCACGGCCAAGGCCTCAGACAAATCATGGTTCAGTTACTGCTGGAGATTTTGTGGAAGTGAGAACTTCAGAACAAAGAAAGGGAAAAAGAGAAAAAGGAGGAAGAAGAGGAGACTTTTCAGGGCCAAACAGGTTTGTAGTGGCAGAGATGTACCAGTAAATCTTCTAGCAGCAGAAGAGTCAGGAATAAAACTCTATGGAGGGTTATTTCTTTTGCCTTGTTTATTTCCTTTTTCATTCTTGTATACACAATTGTAAATGATCACATTCTGATAGCCTTATCAGGTAACTGCCTTATTACAATTACTTTATAAAGGTGTTCATTGGCTGCAACTGCAAGGGACATACTGTACTTGATTACTTTCATAAACCGGTACCTTAAACAGAGTTTCAACCTTTGTTCCACAAGGCTTTTACAGTTAATGCCATGAACTCTGCTTCAAAAATTTGTGGTAAAAATATGGGCAAGGTTTATTGCATTATTGCATGTTAGCAAGGTACTTTACAGCCAGAGTACTTTCCTATCAAGGCTACAAATTGCTACCAGCAGATTGTTAAGTGAACTTGGCAAAATGTGGGGGCATAACTGTCAACATATTGACATCTCATCTAGGGGCAGTAGCAGCACTCTGCTTCATGCTGTATGAACCTGAATAATTTACAGCAGTTATGCCAGTCAATCTCATATGTGGACTATTAGTGTGTGGCAATACCAAAATTTGGGGAAAGAAGTCTTCCTTGAGAAACAAGAAGAGTGTTGCAACAACATTTGCTGGTTCCCTGGCTCTTATCTGTTATTTAGGTAGAATTTCAAGGGTCATAATTATATGTGTTATAACTCTTTTGTTTTGATGTAAGTAAAACTAATATTCCACCTGTTTTTTCTTTGAGGGAGTTTTGCTATATTTTTGTGAATTTTTCACCTCTGTCTCCTTATTTTAGGAAAGAGGCCTTAGAGCTACAGACTGCCATGGCTCTTTCTTTGAGTGAATCCTCAGGGGACCCTTCACAGCTTCCCTCACCTTCATCTAAGCCGCAAGAACCTAAAAAGCACAAGCCAGAAGAAGATGGAGCAGTTGGGGGGCTACCTGCTAAAGAAACAGAGGAATTAGCTCAGTTCCCAGTTTTGCTAAATTCTTTAGAGGTTACAAGTGCAGATAAAGAGTCTAAGAAGAGTAATAAACCCAGGAAACCTCCTTTGTATGCATCTGCTTCTCATCCACCATATTCAGTCAATGACTTTCCCTCTCTGTCTGTTTCTGGTCAAAGATCTGAACAATCACCACCTGTACCTCCAGGATTTGCTTCAGCAGCTCGTCAGCCTCCACCTTTAGCTATAACACAGCAGACTTCTCGCGCTAAGCCCCCTCCTGGTTTTCAGACACCCTTTGAGGCAACTTCTAAGGAGAAGATTAAAGAAAATGTGGCACCATTACAAGAAGCACCTGTTACTAAAACAGAGGTTAAGACAAACAGTAGTGTTCAAGAGAGAAATCAAGCTTTAGTTGAAAAAATAAGAGTCTTATTAGGATATGATAAGTCCAAATTTGAAGAGTTCAAGGAATTATCTGGAAAGTTTCGCAAGAGCATTTGTTCTGCTGAAGAATATTATGCTCAGTGTTATGAATTATTTGAGTCTAACTTTTCTCAAGTTTTTGCAGAACTGGTAGATTTATTGCCTGATCCTGATAAACGAAAAGAACTGTTAGCTATCCATCAAGATGCTAAAGTTATAGCAAAGCATCAAGATGATAAAAATAAGAATGGGAAGGTCAACAAAAAGCCACCCTTGCCTGGGGTTTGGCAAACTGGTGCCACTGCTTGGAATGTGGAGACAAACAGGGGTGGTATATCTGAAAGAGATTTTCCAGCATTGCCTGCAGCAACCAAACCATCTTATCAGCGAAGGTATAAAGCACCAAAGAGTGCTGCTGTCCTCAAAGAAGCATGGATCCGAGGAAAATAAGTTCCTTTTTGACAGAATCCTGATACATGTTATTGTGTTTTTAGGGTAATTTACAGTTTATCTTGTGTAGTTTCCCAATTTGAGGACATTTAAGACCTTGTACTAGCATTGTGTCGTATTATTGAATTGTTTGGGTTTTTAAAAGTTATGGTTATCTAGATTTAGTACATAAACATTATAAATGATTAGTACAATGAGGGTCTACCATTTTTAAATTATAAGTTTTATAGCTTCATATATATATATTTTTTTGTAACCGGCCAATTTAGTATTTTGTGTTCCTTCCTGTTCAATCAGTCTCACACTTTCCAGTTGCCAGAGACACTTATCTGCCATCTCCTCCCAGAGACACTTTTCTTTCAAGGAAGTATGTTTTAAAAAGACACTGACAGCTGCAAAGGAGATCAGTGAAATAGTGCAATATCTAAGGAACATTCTCAATGCCATCCTATGAAAAAGTTATCAGGAAAGAACAAGCAAATAGCAAATCCCATTGGCCAACTGCAAGCAACAATCAAAATGTTAATCAATGAGAATTTTAAGTCAATTCTATTGACAGGTGTTAAATTTTTTTAAAAATGGGATTCTGAGTTAACAACTCACTTTTTTATTTTTCAATGGACAAATGTTGCTAAGTTCCCATAGGAAAGGTAGAGAATTAAAATCACTTCATACTCATTCTGTTTTTCAATGTTATAGTATCATACTAGTTCCTTTGATAAATTTTTGAGTTATTTTTTGAATGAAAAAAACAACTATGTTTGCATGTAGAGTGGTATGTATCTCATACCAATCAGATCACGGCATTTGGGTATGTATCTTGCACCAATCAGATTGCTGCATAATGGTTTGCATCAAGCACCAATCATTGCAGCATTTGGATATCTTACACCAATCACAGCATTTAGAGTATGCATCTTGCACCAGTCAGACTATGGCATTAGAGAATGTCTTGCACCAATCATATCACAGCATTTGGATATCTAGCACTAATCAGAATGTTTAGGGTTTGTATCTTGCACCAATCATCACAGCTTTCTTGCAAATGATGTCATGGAATCAGGGGGCTGTGCACAAAGAATGACATAAATCATGAATTTTGGGCTCATTTGATGTGTAATGTTTTGTGGCCTTTGCAAGAGCCTCATCAATCAAGGTCGAGATTGATCAGGATATGAAAGGTTCACATCATTTTTAAGTTAACACATGTTTTTCCACTCCTTTACTGACAACTCGTGTGCCAAATGACTTGCATTCCATCATGCACCATGAAAACAATGTCCAAAGTCCAATCAGAACATACCTAATCATTGCACCACATGCATGTTAGGCAATTTTCACATGCTTGAATTGTATTCCACCAATCAAATTCCAGTTACCCTAATTAGACTTTGCTCCATTATGTGTGATTTCCTTGTAAACAACCAACATTTAATCACATTTTCTAACCACATTGTCCAACCCCACTGAAAAATATTCACTAAATGCTGCTGATAGTACATTTTCCACACAATTCTCCTGTGTTTTGAATTTTTCTATGAATGAAATTGGCTTTTAGCTTCCTTGACCTCAATCCAATCACGTTACTTCCTTGTAACCAACCTGTATTTTATCACGTGTTTCACACACAGAGGGCAAAGTCCAGATAGTCAACAACCAACCAAGGAGCCCTCTTTGAAACATTATTCTTTTCTCTTCTTCAATGTATCTTCACTTATTTGAGATGACAGTATATCTTTGGCTAGGGTCTATTGGAGACAACAGGGTTTCAGTTTGCTTTTCATAGTAAAATGAGGTGGAATTATATTTTTGAGGCAACCAACTGTAGACGAATAATTTTTATTTTCTCTGTGTTAGAGGAACAACAGCAGGCATAGTCTCTTTCACAACCATTATTTAGTCTCATCACACAATGCATTCTCTCTCCAACAGGGAATATATAGTGGTGTGTGATAAGACCAAATGATGGCTGCGAGAGGAACAACAGTAAACGTGGCACCCATGCATTTTATTTTGCTAAGTATTTAGCCAAAAGATACAGCAGACCACAAAATACCTGTGTGAGTTCAGTTGAATAAGCTTTTTTTGTTATTCTCAAGGTGAAGTAATGCAATATTTTCGTCTGTTTTAAAGTTATGCTCTTTTTCTGCTACAAAAACATTTGGTACATAAAGTATCCAATCATAACCTGTCCAGCCAAACCAATGACTCTTGCATGCTACCCATGCCTATATTTATTAAAGTAGCCTTGAATTTTGATTCACAATTTTTTCCACATATTTATACACAATAAGAGTAAATTAAGAACAAACAAAAGATGTGACTTTACACATCTTGGTTGAAGTGTGCAACAAGTTCCTTTCCATTTGCTGGCTAACAGTCACTTTAACCATTCCAGATTTTTTCTTAGTTCATTTTTTCTTCATCTTGATTTACACTGCCCTGGCTGGGCAAACTTTGTGGACTGGGCTCTCCCAACAACTGCATCAGCTGCTGACCTGAACTGGCTTCTTGCATGTTTTCTAAGCTTGGTGTGGATGATGAGGACTGATCAGAGCTGGCATCTATAAAATATTAATGTCAATGTATCAGTTAGAAGGGTGCTTACACATTGTTTTGAGTAATAACCAACTAATCTTTTTTCATCAACTTCAAGTTTAAATTTAAGGAGAATTGACAATACATGCCAATAGCAAGATGTTCAGTGCACTCAGAAGACATACATTCATTCTTAACACAGATCATCAAATTGAAGGCAGTAGAATTTTGAACTTGATGAACTACAACACATTTACTTATATTTTATATGCCTTTACTTCCTTAACTACACCTACCCATAACCAAAAACAATTTTCAGCATGTCAAACACTAGTCACATTGAACGCATTATATACCCCTTTAATAAAGGGCTTATTTGCTATGCTTTTAACTATTTGTAAATAAGCCTTCTGGTCTCGACAACAAGTTTAAAAACAATAGAATTCTCAATCCAAAGTGAGGCCAAGAAGGGTGATTTACATGGGGATTAAAGAATAAAAATCATGCTGATCATTAAGAAAGAGAATTCATAATAAGGCAAAACAAGCTGTTAAACTCCTGGGCCCAGTTGTTTGAAGGCCTATTAGTGCTAACCCAGGATTAAGATTTAACCTGGGTTTCTTTATTTCTTTCTTCAAAAGCCTTTTAGCAGATAAGTATCTCTATTCTTTTTGGAGCATCCAAGCATCACATTGTAGACAAAAAGAATTATACTGAATATTCTTTTAAAGCTTTCATACCTGAGGTCAGATTTCACACTAACCCCAGGTTATCTTAACTTAGTTTTGAACAACCCAGCCCTGAGTTTCAGTATGATGCAAAGAGGTATTCTAAGAACTCACCTAACTTGTTTAAGAGGTACCGTTTGCATGCCAGGTAAGACTCCTCTGTAATCACTGTTTTCAACTTTATAGATTCCACACCTAGTTTTTTCTTGATATCATCTGTCACAAGAAGTTCCTCCGCTACACTATTGAGATGACCTGAACTATAGTCTTGCCAAAGTTTTTCGAGACCTTCCAAGGTTTGGCACTTCACTGTGATATTCAAACTCCTCCCACTTTGCGCTCCTTCACCACTTGATGATTGTCCCTCAACAGAAACATCTGCTATATCTTTATCCAATAACTCTTCAGAACCCACATTTTCCTCTCCGTCCAAAACCATATCTTCTTCGAGTGATGCCATTTCCTCCTCTACAAAACACACGCAAAAAAATGTTTCAGCACAAAGAGTACCACACACCTTTGAACCCAAGAACCATAAAAGCTCGTGTTTAAGATACACTCGTGATAAGCCACACGCCCAAAACTCAAGCATGAAAGAAAAAAAGAAAAAAAAACCTTGAAAAAGGACCTCTGGCAAAAAAGTTGTTTGCATAGTCTTACGTGTGAACCTACCGAAATCTTATGCTGTGTATTAGTAGGGACTTTAATAAGTTCATCGACTCTTACAGTACCTTTTAAATGTTGATCTTAAGTCGATTTCCTTAATACTTGAGACTAACAACGGTTATTTTCATTATTTTAGTCCACCACATCAACCGAAACTAGATCGATGAACTCCAACAGGAACTATCACGCAGGTATAAAATCATCTGCTAAGGTAACCTCTCTCGTTTACAGAGTGAAGTCTGGGCCGAGCACTTAACTAAACAAGAAAAGCCGCGTTACGATTGTGTTGGACATCCCAGTATGTAACAAGACCTTGAGCCGTATAAGCCATCGATCGGAGAAAAACTTGTTGCTAAACAAGATCTTAACAACCACATGGCCAAACACGCCGTACAAGTACAAGAAATAAAAGGCAACGGAACGGTTGGCAATTTGCCTTGCGAGTTCTCCCTAATAGCGTGGTGAAGAGATCGGTGTTGAAGTGATCGTTGGAGGATGGCTTTAATGCTATTTATGGTAAAGACAAGCCAGTTTACTGCCGCTGAAAGCAATTTGTCTCGTATATAAGCTGCAACCACGATTTGAGCCCAGAATTTTGGCAAAAATATACGGTTTATACACGAGTTTTTACGGATTTTATTTAACGGCACGGCCTCAGTTAAGTCTTACAAAGAAGCGACTCAGACATAAGCAATACTAACAATTTAAATCCTTAAAAAACTTACATAAGCCCACTACAGACTATTAGCTTAGCTCACCACTGATGCTTCCAAATGTTCCGAGAATGCGCAATTATTTTCCAATTAATCCACAATAGCTCTCTGTCAATATAGGTTTCAAGACAGTTGGTCTATGTACTATAACTGCAACTCCTTGATGGCCGAGTCCTTATATACATTTAATACAACGTATTCAAATACATTCCGGAAGCCTACGGAACAAATATTCTGGGAGAACTACATCATAAGTACAAAAGTTAAGAGGATGTTCCAGAAAGTTCCATGGTATGACATCAGCAAAATTTAGTGTCCATGTCACCATGACTAAGCATTCTAGAAATTTCTAGAAACTTCTATTTCACAGTCACTTCTCAAAACAATAACATAAATCTGGGTGCAGTTTCCAATTCAAAATCTGATTAGAGGAAATATAACATACCAATATACATGCAGTCATTAGTGGTATGAGAAGAGGTACAATGACTGCATTCCGAGACTACACCATTTCCAGAAGATTACATAGTACCTTAATCAAGCTTTGTCATGTTATAAACTGTCAACAGCTTTATGAATATGTGTGTCTTGACTCAAGTCACCTGCTAAATCCATTAGAGACAATCTACAAGCCAGGTATTCCTCTTTCAAAATAGTTGTCTCCAATGTGATAGAATCCACATCAAATCTGTCTTGAATGTCATTGGTCATAAAATACTTCTCTGACACTGCATTCAGATGACCAGGGCCGGGTTGTTCAAAGCTGGGTTAAGATAACCCAGGGTTAGTGTGAAATCTGATTTCAGGTCTAAAAGCTGTAAAAGGAAATTCAGTCGAATTCTTTTAGTCTAGAGTATGACTATTTGACACTTCAAATAGAACACTGAAAATTATCCCAAAAAGGCTTTTGAGTAAAGGAATAAGGAAACCCAGATTAAAATTTAACCCTGGGTTAGCACTAATCGGCCTTTGAACAACTGGGCCCAGAACAATACTCTTTCCACAAACATTGAAGAATTTCTAATGTGTGACACTTGACCATAATTATCAAACTTCCTGACGTCACTGTCACAACTGGCAAGTCAAGTACGCCTTTGAGATAATTTTGTAGGTGACTGGGCATATCCTTGGTAGCAATCTTATCTGCTCTTGTCTTAAACATTGGACATCTCAGACACCAATATTTGCTCTACTTTCTCCTGTTCTGCAGGGTCCCACTGTTTTGTATCTTTAAGGGTAACTCTGTCTACTTCAATCAGGATTTTTATGGTTACATTTCCTGAGAAAGTTATCAAAATAATAAAAAGAAAGTTACATAACTATGAAAAAGAGCTGCAATAAAGAAGCAAATTAGAGGTTACTGGTCTCTCCCTATCCCTCACTAGCTTTGCCAATTCATAACCACATAGTCATCACACCTCTCACAAATTTGCTAGCACAGTAGGCTGACATGAAGTCAGCAAAAACAAGAGGCTTTAATTTTAACTTGCATAGTAAAAAGGTTTGTATTTTAATAATCCTTGATCAAACAAGAAATCACCAACCCTTGTTTGGGACAACTGCTAAATCATCAACTTTCTTGCCAACATTTCCTTCTTCCCTTATAATTTTATCCAGCATGCCTTTTCTGTAGTCTTCATCTTTCTTCCATTCTTCAAGAATCTTTTCGTAATGTGCCTCCAACTCAGGATCTATAGACTCAGTTTCAAGGTTATTGATTGCAACTTCATAACTCTTTCCTCCTGATCTTACCAGTTGCATGTATCTCCTGCCAGTGAGAGGAAAACTGAAAATCAGACAAAGAATCCCTCTCTGCATAAGCATAAATATAATTTCTGATACATTCCAGGTGGACCATGTCTGCCTTGCTAATCAGATCTGTTGTTGGAGGAGGTGTGTCCTAAGATCCTGTGGTTGCAGGAGGATTCAAACCACAAATAAGAATAAACATAAGGGTGAAGTTGGCTAATGACACTGATGTTTCCACTGTGTTGCATTGGCCTCAGTCACATCCCAGTTACTTACCATCCATCATGAACCGGATGTGCAATCCCTCCTTGTTAAAGCTCAACTGACTCGTGGGCGCAAAAGCATCAGCAGCAGTAACCAAAAATTTTTTAAAAACTGGTACACTTTCGCGTGCTATAATCACGTACACAGAGTGAAATGTCCTCATACAGGTGCACGGTCCCGTCAATATCAAACCCGACGATTTTACAAAAACCATAAAACGAATAGGCTAAATTGTGCCACTATGACACCTCCTACCTCTTCCAGCAAAATGCCTACAAACTACGAGCAAAAAGAGGTAAGCCTCGTACTCAGCCTCATACTCAAATGTCCATCAGCTGTTCATACACAGAGGTCGTGTTTAAGTGGAAGCGCAATCAGAGCGATCCTCACTGGAATAAGGCCAGTGGGTGAAGCTGATGTGCTCCTTGTGCAAAAGTTGCAATGAATCAACCACCTAAGTGGTAGACAAGAGCTTGCTAGTCTTTAGACCCTGGCCTAGCTCATGGTTTTACTCAAAAGATAGTAACCTTAATGAATTTAACAAAAGGAAGTCAATTTGAAACTCTCTCACTCTGATTTAAAATTCCTGGGGCAGATGGCACACATTTTGTTTGTACTTGAATATGTTCTCAACAAAAAAGCTGAGTTCCGATGGATTTTTTACCTTTAATGTAAATATATGGTTGATTTCAAAGCCTAGAGTTTTTTCTTTCTGTGTACAAAAACTAAAAAGATAATATCTGAAATTTGAAATGTAGTCACCAAAACTTTCCATTAAGTTACTAGAATAAAAATGTGCACTTTGTGTTTATGAAATCAACAGCCTTTCAAACCAGGATTGATGGACATATTTGAAAAAACTTTATCTTGTCCCTTTGTGTTTTGATCAGCATTTTTTTTCAAACAGTAAAATAAAAGTTAATCAAATATGATTAAAATCAATAGAAGGCAATTAGGACATTTCAGGAGATTTTATTAAGTTTCTTTCAGACAGAGTTTCCAACAAGTAAGTGGGTGTTCATCCAGCTTCAGTTTAAGCCCACTCTGCTCCACCACTCTTTGCATCCTGCATGGTGACAGAGGTACCCCAATCACTGCTTGGCTGCAGATCATCTGCTCCCCATTCTTTTGGTGCTGGTTCAGCCGACCAATCTTTGGCTTCGGCCCAGTCCTTGGATGGAGCAGGGGTAGTGTCAGTCCATTCACGGCTGGTACCCCAGTCCTCAGTAGCTCCAATGGTGGCAGGTAAAGCAGAAGTGCCCATTTGTTCAGCTCCCCACTGGAAAAACAAAAATCAATAAAATTTTTTTTTAGTTAAGATTTCTCGCAATTACATTTATTTTCACCCTCAAGAAAGGGCCAAAATGGCAAGAAAAGGGAATCAGGAAGAGTTTCTATTCCCTTTTAAGCTAGCCAAATACCAGGTTCTGGCAATATTCCCAAAAAGAGAGAAATCTTGAAAGAAGCAAAACAAAGAAGCATTCAAACCTTCTTTATCTCCACAAAAAACTTTACACTGACAAATAGTAATTTGGAAGGATACAAAACCTTTGCACAATAACTGCCATGATAAGAAATGATATAGAATATCAAGTCTAAAGTAAACTTTCCTACATATTACGATGGCCTCTCTGGTTGGGGACAGTGGAAGCACTCACCTCTCCAGTTTGCTGATCAGCAGTTCCACCCCATTCACTTGGAAACTGAGGAGCAGAAGCAGGCTGTTCTTCTGCATGTTGCATGGCAGCTTGTTCTTCCTTTTCAGCCTAGAATGAATACAAACAAATTATTTCACAAGTCTATGTGGTACTCCAGATGTGTTATTTCGCAAAACAAACCTTGATCCTCTAACCCCTCAAAGCAAGGGGCTACATTTTGGTCTTCATTGAGCACAGTATCTTCACTTGTACACCCAGTATTAAGGTATCACAACAATAGCAAGAAGGCCTAATAATCATCATTATTCCCTATATACAGACCATAATTTGGAAAGAATTTCACAAGTTCAGGATCAGATTTGAGACCTCAATGGGACATTTGCCTCATGACATAAATTGACCACAACTACCAGAATTAACTTAGTGTTTCCTATCAGATTTAATCTGCTAATCCCAGTGAGATTTTTGAGACAACCACTTTAATTTCAAAATAATACAAAAATTAAAAGTATTCTGTTAGGTAAGGCAAATAGATACCATCATTAAAATTGATTCTTAAGAAATATAAGAGAAAACAATTAACTCCCAGAAGTGATAAACATATAACTTCTTCCTAAAATACTCAAACTTATCAGGCAGAAGTTGCTATCTTGCTCTACCACCAAATTCTTGTAACTAATTTATGAGGTAATGTGATCAGATTTTTTGAGTTTAGGGGTTAATTTTCACTCTTAATGGAAAAAAAATGTTTTACCTCTTCTGGATCCCTGTAAAAGTAAAGATCAGGCATGATTTCCCAATTGATTTGCCTGCTGATGCTACCACGCATACGGAGCACTTCCCTTGCCAACAACCACCACATAAGACCCACAGCATGCGCACCTTTGTTGTTGCAGGGGATTGCCACATCCACATGGTGCAATGGAGAGTCAGTGTTGCAGAATGCAATAACAGGAATGTTTACGTAGGATGACTCTGTCACGGGCTATGAAAGAAGTTCATGTTCAGTTTGAGGAGTAGTCTTTATGGTTTTAAGTTCCACTTCAAACAGTTGAAATGAAGCTTTACAGGACAATAAATGTTTTCCCCAACTTTTATAGTTTTGAATAGTTCATCCAATTAAATAGTTACCATTCCCTGAGGAAAAAACAGTATTCTGCAATGTGAGGATTACAGCCAGAGTTGGCACGAAAATAAAGTTTATATGTGGTTGAGAAGGAAAAGCAAAGTAATTCCTTGGGGATTTTTCAGATATAGTCAAAATATTACCTGGCTATCAGTGCGTGGATCACATACAACAAGCAAACGTGGTTCTCTGAAGGCTGCTTGAATTTGATTGGTGAATGTACCAGGAGTGAAGCGGCCAGCAATAGCTGTGGCCCCAGTGTGACTGGCAAACTTCAGGATGGCACGCTATAAGATAACATCACTCGTTAAGTTTTCACAGCTTTATGTAGCAATCATAATACTGCAACGTCTCATCAGAGGTGGGTCTCAGATT